CGATGCCCTTGTTCTGAAAAAACCTTACTTCTTTTCATGACTAAAACCTAAGACTTTTCCAGGGATGCCAAGTCCTCAGATACCCACCTATAACATGGGATTTAGGGTGGATGAATGTAGATTTCAAGAGCTTTTTCCTTGCCAGCAAAGCAAAGAGAATCATGTTTGCAAATATCGACAGATTAAATTGAAATATTCTACTAGGGTGTCCTTATACGATATTATGGCAGCCGGGCTGTGGTGGGGAGGCACAATTGGATGCATCTGAGTTCTAGGCCAGCCTGGTCTACAGAGTGAGTTCCAGGATGACAAGGGTAAGACATCCACAGCAGAACTTCGGATCCAGCTTTATTATGAACAACCAAGAAATGCTCCCCTGGTCCCTCCCCTCCCGTGTCCCAGCCCCGCAGCTCCTCTGACCTGGGAGGTTCCAGGGCCGCCGGGCTGCGGTTCCCGCCACTGCGCTGCTGACTGGTGACTTTCCCAGGCCGCCCCGCGCGGCGACTGCGGCTCCGGGGAGATTTCGCGTCCCCGCGACCCCCCGCCGGGTCCTCCGCTCCCAGGTCTGCACCACGGGTTTCTCCACGGTTCAAGCCCTGGAGCAGAGACAGGGAATGGGCACTTGGCACTTCTGGCTTTGGCTCCTCCGCCCAATTTAGCGCCCCTTCCCAGCTTCCCTTATGTTCCTCCTCTATACACCCTCCACTACCTCATCAAGGGCCAATAACCTCCTCCAGCCGCTGTTTCCGGGTGAGTGTCCCCGCCCCACTGAACTGTCCCTCCCACTCGGTCTCAGGCTGCCTTCCACACAGCTCCAGCTGTCAGGCTGCCCTGCACCCGCTCTGCACAACCTCCCCACATGCTCGCTGCCAGCCTAGACCAGACCTGGATCTAGGAGGACGCTGCACCCCGGTTTCTGAGCCCCACAGTGAGTTCCGAGCCCTTCAGATAAAAGACAGGCGGCCTAACCTCGACTTGACTACCAGCCTCCCGGACTTCAACTTACAGAAAATATAACCCGCTAAATTCAGATGCCAGCGTCCCATCGCTAACACAAACATGAGAAACCAAAACTAAATACTGCAATAGAGCCTTGGGGAGAGACCTTTCAGGAAATTGGATTTTGAAAAGAATTAGGTGTCTCAAGAAGTCAGTGATTAGTCCATTGCTAATAGCTCAGGGCTAAGTACATCCCGCGCTGTACTGCTCTCGCCTTGCCATTTTATTAACGCAGAAACCAGTTTGTCTTCTGTAACTCACGCTAAGGTGCTTTGAGATACAACTGAAAATTTCTTTGGTGGAAAAATGTAATGCTGATTGCATAGACTGTTAGCTGTTCTTGTTGAAGAAAATAAGTATAGTTTGTGGTCCCAGTCCTAAAAATGTCAGTTACACCATCCCATCTATGGCTCTGGGAATGTTGAGTATAAAGATGTGGAAAAGAAATAAGAAGGGAAAGAGGAAAAAGGGCTAAGACATGCCATTCTCTAGACTCCACACAGCTGTTGTAATCAGTAACCAACAGCAGCTGTACTGACCTGCATGGACCTCACACTAGACCACAACCAGTCTAGGAAAGGGAAAGGCTCACAGGGCACACCCTTTACCTCTCAAATGTTGGCAATAGATGGAGAAGAATCATTACCTTTAGCTGTAGTCCTCTGCTGAGCCCACCAGTTTCTGACACATATCTGTAAACCCACAGTCTCACACATGGCCCTGGTTAATCTCAGTGGGGCCCAAAGCAAACTGAATGGAGATATTTGTTGGAATTGTGGACGAGGATAGTAGAGAGGTAGGAGGTTATAGTGGGCAGTATTTGAGGCAGGCACACACACACACACACACACACACACACACACACACACACACA